TCCAACCACCAGTGATTATCAAGCACACCTAGATTCCATGCTTTATTAGTTTCAGATGGAAAAAGTTGGTAAAAACGTTCTTTGCTCGTCTTTGGCATTAGTGGCTGGTGCATAAATATGAATATTGTGTTAAGTGGTCTTCCCTGTAGCCATATGGGTGTTATCCTAGCACAGACAGCATTGTACTTCAAGATAAACCTTGAGATAATGATGCCATTCTTCTTTAATTTTTCATTCCTGGATTAGTGGACCATAAGACTTACTGATGCAAAATGACCAACTACAGTTCCTTCAGCTCACTAATGTGTAGGATTTCGATCGTTATGAGTTCCACTTATTGCTCAATGCCTTCCAATTTTCCTAGACTCATACTTCATGCATGTCCTAGTTTGGTGACAGCTGTTTTCTCTTGTTTTGGGTGTTGTTTCATCAGCAAAGGAAGGAACCGAAAGCCTTTCCACCCACTTCATTCAGGTCGGCTGTGCTTTGAGAAGGTAGCGCTTCCTCAGTCACATTTTGTGTGTCTTCCCCCCTGAGAGACTCATCTTCTGGTGCAATAGCAGACAGTGGTCCGCTGCGATTCATAAAGTTTGCAGTGACTATTTTATCAGAAGTGGACTGCCTGTTCCTTCTTCCAAGTCTTTCTTAGTCTGGAGCTTCACTGAAATCCATGCACCACGGGTGACCCTACTAGTATTTGCAGAGCAACACAGAACTCACCACAGTACAACAGACAGACAAGGGTGGGAAAAGATGAATAACTTTCACTAAATAAGGAAAGCTAAAGTTGGCAACTGGGTTTATTGACAGTTAGAAAGTTGGTTGGTAAATTTGTAGAATCCCATTGAGGAAATGGTGTGGGGCTCCATCGGACCTCCTCCAGCTCCCAAAGCCAGTTGCTACAAGGCATTGGTCATCCCTCTAAACCCTAGTCAAGCACCAGCTGTCCTTCCTGCTGCACTGTGCTTCTTGTCTGGGTTTGAGAATTCACAGACAGTGCCATACTCACGACGATGGGGATTATTAGGGGAATTAGCAGGTTAAATTCAGGTGAGAAATGTTCGGGATACGGTGTTCAGCCAGGGTAGTTTCTTCTCTCATACTCTCAGGCACTTCTCTCTGCCTTCAGCCTTTTGGCCTGACCTCAGCCCTGATAGGGCAATGTTGCAAAGTTCTTTTGCGGCTGTTGGCAAATGCCTGAAGGGTAGGTAAGCCACTGGCTCCAAGGGTCCTCAAACCCAACTCTGTGGGCTAGGAAGTTCACGCTCTATCTCCTGCCCCGATTTCTGGGTTTGCTGCTGCTCCCCTGTTAACACTGTCTTGTAGATCAAAGAGGTTCAAAGTAGATCCAGAGGAGGTGCCCCACCCCTGACACCATGTTTTTGCTGATAGTGAGATTACTCTTTTCCTGCTTCGGAAATGGCTCATTTTTTACTCTGCAGGATGGCAATCACAATTAACCCTGTTAATCATCATTCATAGCTGAATCAGATAATCATTATCTTCCTCTCACCTTCTTACCAAGACCCCTAAAGAAAACTAAGGTCCTTTGGTGGGAGTAACAAAGACTATTGCTAGAAGACCCTTTGAATCCCGTGGTTAGTCAGACTGAGGGGTTTATTAGGCTGGTGCCCTGCATGTCTTTGTGATGACCCAGCCCAGGGGCCGTTCACCATCTGTACCTCAGACAGTGGGCTAGACTCATGCCTTTACTGTGCCAGCTTAAGGGCAGTAGATTGAGGCCCTACCAGTGTCCCTCAGCCCATCCACCATGGAGAGAGCAGGGCCCTGCTTTGTGGTCCATGCAGTGTGCTGTAATTACAACTCTGCCATCAGCACAAGAGAAGCCTTAGACACTCTTTAATGCGCAAGTGCTGTGTTACAATAAACTTCATTTGCTAAAAGAGGTGGCCGGCAGGATGTGTCCCACAGGCCACGGTTTGCCTATCCTTGGTTTATGGTGATGGGCGTAAGGTATTTGAGACTTGTTGAGCAACCTAACAAGCAAATCTTTTTGTTTTTCCTTTTTGTCTTTTTGAGCTTTGGGCAGTGTGTAATTACAGTAAATGAATGCAGCTATTCACGCATCTACGTGCGCTGACTAGGTTTTGGAGTTTTCTTTTTACCCAAGTCTCCTGACATCTTCAAAGTTGTTTTCTTGTTAGGCAGCCTTTCCTACCTTTTGGACAGGTATGAGAAGAAAATCTTCATTTATGCTCCATGCTTCCATACTGTAAACTCTGCAACTTGGAATTTAAACAAGAAAGACTTATTGAGATGTATTCCTTTTGAATCAGGCAGAGCTGGAATGAAAATGTAGGACTGTATTCAGGAGGTTATAAGCAAAGGTTATTGTTGTTCCTAACCCTACCATTCTTTATTTGGAAAGAATGTGCATCTAATCACAAGTTAATTGATATAATGCCAGGTCAAGAAATTACCATTTTTTAATGATATGAGATGTTATCCTGCGGTTAATAATGAGACTTGTGCAGAAACATGGCTTGTCTTTGTGAACTAATGCATCCAAAGAAGAGCTCAGTCTCCATGGTGATTAAAGCTCAATAAAATGCTTTTGTAGGTAAGTATAAGGTGAAGTTGCTGTAGATATTATATGCTTCGTGTTTAATGGGCAGAGATTTTGGCCCTGGTTTTTAATTGCTGTTAGGAAATTAGTTTTATATTACGTTTGGCGAAATATATAAGAACTGTAAGCATATCGTTTCTGTAGGAATTTTGTAAATGCCTAGGGGGCTACCTACAATATGAAATGAAAGGAAGCATTTCTTTTTCTGCGTCTACAGCTAATACTTAGCCTCAGCAGGATTTGACAGAAAGGAGACTTACTAGGAATATAGTAGATTGTCTCTGGTCACCACAGACTTAAACTTGTCATGTAATTTTTTTTTTTTTTCTTCAATCAAGCCAGAATGAGCCACTGGGAGGTCGCTCGCTCGCCCTCCTGTTCCCGCCTGTGCGTCAGAGTCTCTTTATCTGAAGTGTCCTGGATCCTTTCATGGTCAGCCTCTGGCCTCCTCCCTCTGACTTTGTCAGTGCTTCTTTGACTTTGCATCAGGCCCTTCCACTTTGGAAATTTTCAAATCAATAGCTAGTGTTTGCTGTGTGTCGGGGGCGGGTGTGTGTGTGTGTGTATGTTAATATGTAAAATAAAGCTAACTTGTTGTTGGGCATACGGCAGTTGAACAGTAAATGAGAGTGGTCACCAGAAACTAAACCAAATTCACTGCCATCCAGCTGGTTCCCACTCACGGTGACCCTGTAGGACAGTAGAACTGCCCCGCTGGCTTCCCGATACTCACTCTTTGTGGGAACAGAAAACCCTGTCTTGCTCCTTTGGAGCTTGGTGGTGGTTTTGAACTGCCGATCTTGTGGATTGCAGCCCAGAGCTTAACTACTGTGTTCCACCAGCATCCTTCCAGTCAGATGCTTCAAGGTGTGTTTCTAACCCACTTCTTGGTTTAAGCTTGAGGTTTTCATCTTGGGCGGTCAGCCAAGGGATTCTGTGGGCACTCAGACCTGGCACATCCCAAACCACATTCATTGTGTATTGTCCTCATCTGATGCACCGGAGTCCCTTTAGCTGGTCACGGTCATACCGTCTCCTGACCACCACACTGCAGCACCCTCTTTGTCACATCTCGCCTCCCATCCACATTGCTCTTCAGCTGACCCTTGTAAAGCAAGTCCTTCTGATTGCGGGTATGTGCGTATATGCACAGAGGCAGGAAAAGCTAGCCAGAAACCAATGCCTTTTATCGTAGGATGATGGGATTTTGTATTGTGTGAATTTCTTTTTAGTAAGAAACATTTATTCTTTATATATTGTATCCAACCTATAATTTTATTTTTACCAACTCTCTATGAATTTTTTGGAGAGGGTGGGGTTGGTTTATTTGTTAGTAGAGTTTACTAAAATTTATTTTTTCCCCCCTACCTGTTCAAACCTACCTTGTATTTCTGGGTAAACACATTTGGCCATGATAGTTACTCTTTTCATATGTTGTTGGAGTCTGTTTGCAAAACTCCTGTTAAAGATTTGTTTTACATTTACTGGGTATGTTCATGAGGGATATCGGTCTGGAGTGTCCGGCCTTGTAATGTCTCTTGTCGGATACTAGGATCCGGGCAGTGCTGACTTTGCAGAAAGAGTTGGAGAGTGTTCACCCCTCCATTGTCAGGAAGCGTTTGGGTAGAACTCATGTTATTTATGCCTTAAGAGACTGGTAGACATCAGTTCGGCCAGCTGGACCTGTCGGTTCATTCCGTGTGGGAAGAACACAACCCTTCGTGTCCTGTGCTTCATTCAGGGCTGCTCTGCCTGATGGTCCCCAGTGCACGCATCCTTTCTTGCCCTTTACTCAGCACCTGGCTCCTCACTTCTTTCTCCGTCAGAGAAAACCTCCCAACTGAACGTGAGCCCTCCTTCCATGAGCCGTGGGGTCTTTATGCCGTTTCCTGCATTCTGCCTTTGGGCCTTCTGTGTTTGTTTGTGTTAATCCCGTTAGTAAATGGTAAACTCTAATAGGGCAGAAATTGTGTCTTACATACGCTGGCTACATTCTCCCTGTTTATTTTGGGGGGATAACCTGGTTTTACTACTGGCTATGATTTTGGTGGGGTGCTCAATCAAGGTGTCCTGCCAATAAAATTCACTTCCCTTGGACTTTGAAGTTTGAGTGATGGGTTCCAAAGACTGAGGTGCATGAGGAAACCACTCATTAGGGCCTGCTCTCTGGCCCCTGGCCCCTCCAAGGCCTGGGCCTTCAGCTCTTCCTTCATATCTGTGAGCGAATGCACTGCTTTACCGAAAACGTCTTTTCAGAGTTATCTGTAGATACGTTTCTGGTGCTTGTTCCCAAAGATCTTTACCAATAGAACTGTTATGGGAGCTGACCAGACAACCATTCCAACTTCTTATCATGATGCTGATGTGCTTTTTTTAAATTTTGTTTTTCCCTACAAATGAAAACAATGAACAGCCAGAGACCAGCGCTGCGTTGAAACGTACAATAGAAGCCCTGATGGACAGAGGCGCAATCGTGAGGAACTTGGAAAACCTGGGTGAACGAGCACTTCCGTATAAGATCTCTGCCCACAGTCAGAAGCACACGAGAGGAGGGTAGGTTGCTTTGTGCATTAATCGTACTCGTTAATTTGTCTTAGAACTGACTGTTAGTGCTAGGGGGCGGAAGTTCCAGTGCACCCCTGCGCGGTGCTGTGGGCAGTTACTCTGCCCTGAGCGCCGGTTGCCATTGAGTTGACGGCGCCTGGCAGCCCCTGTGAATCAGAGTAGAGCTGTGCTCCGCAGGTTTCCAGTGGCCCATTATCAGCAGGCTTGTTTCCCAAGGCCCCTCTGGGTGGACTGGAACCCCTGACCGTGCTGGTAGCAGCCATGGGTATTAACCATTTGTGCCACCCAGGGCTCACTCGGTCAGCCTCACAAACCAGAATGAGGGCACACAAACTGGCCGTGCCAGGAGCAGCCGGCTTCCATGCTCTTGCTGGAGGAAACTTGTCTGGTCCACAAAGGTCCTGTTTTCCTCTGGCATCACTCTAACTCGTGGCTTTGGAACCACCGTAGGCAATATGTTCTCCGCATTATCTAGGCGAGCATCCTTTGGAAATACGTAGGTTGCAGATAACAAGCAAAATGTGCTTTTAGGGCTAATGCATATAATCAGAACCTACTCACAAGAGAAAAATGGGTTTATCTACCCCCAACCAAGAATCATAACTCTCTATAATGGATTTTTCTCCCCCACGGCATACAATCATTTCCTGAAACATATGTCAAGGATTTGAGTTTGTAGTAATAACTTTATAGAAATATTTTGAAGCCAGTTTCTTTGCTGGGTTGGTTCAAGCATCTCTAAACCCTAATGGTGCCGGGGTTTTTTGCACCTGCCGTCTCTGGGGCAAAGTCGGGGTGGGGGGGACACTCTCATGTTGTTAGGGTCCCTAGAAGCAGGGCCTGGAGAAGCTGGGAGCATTTTTGCATAGTGGGAAATGCCCAGGATTAGAGGCCTCCACTCTCTGGCCTTGAGCAGGTGGTTGAGCTTCTTGGCGTCTTTGTTCCTCAGGGCCTGAACTCAGTGAGTGGCTCTCTCCCCATTGTCTGGGGGAGCTCCTGGGGTAATCACTGCACAGAGGACAGTGCCGGGAGCTTTGTGCCTGCTGCTGCTAGCCTGTGCATCACGGGGTCTTGTGCAGGTGCCGCCTGTGGAGTCATGCCTCAGCCCGACGCCTCCTTGGCACTGCACACACCCCCTCTGTCTGGATGAGGTCTCACCGTGTGATTGTTTCATCTTGTTTTGTGCTCGTGTTCAGCTTCTTGAGAAGCACCTCGGAAGAGAGTGCCCGAGGCGTTGCTAGGCAACATGAAATGCACAGTGACGAGTCTTCTCCCACAATCAAAATAACAATGAGAGATGAGAGAGTGTGTGCCCAGATCTTTGAAAAATGAAAATTTAACCCCAAAGGGGTCTGATTTTAACAGCAAGCTCTGACCCTTCCGCCATTTTGATTGAAGTGACACAAGGCAATTTGGCCAAGAACTGATGGGCCAAGTTCTCTGACAGACGGCTGACCAGGGAGAGCAGTCCGTTCCCTCCCAACAGCAGCACCTTCCTTTGTGTGGTGCC